AAAAGATCTGATGATCGCACAGGTTTATGTTGATGACATCGTGTTCAGTTCCACTGCTGAATCTTTGAAGAATGAATTTGTCAAGTTCATGGAAGCTGAATTTGAGATGAATATGATTGGTCAACTTAATTACTTTCTGGGATTACAGGTTAAACAAACTGATGGTGTCTTCCTGAGTCAAACAAAGTATGCTCAGAATATGATTGAAAAATTTGGACTTCGAGATTCAAAGGTTGTCAGAACACCCTTGGGACAACAAGATAAGTTGTCTAAGGATGATGATGGGAAGATTGTTGATCAGAAACTGTACAGAAACATAATTGAGAGTAAGATTGTTGATCAAAAATTGTACAGAAACATAATTGAGAGTCTACTTTACTTGACTGCTAGTCGCCCAAACATCTCTTTCAATGTTGGCGTATGTGCAAGATTCCAATCCACATCTAAGGAATCTTATCTGAAGGCTGCAAAGAGAATTCTCATATATGTCAAAGGAACTGCAAAACTTGGGTTATGGTATTCGAACAGGTCTGGCCTTGATCTTATTGGGTTCATAGATTCAGATTGGGCTGGATGTTGTGATGACAGGAATAGCACAACAGGTGGATGATTTTATATTAGAGACAACATTGTGAGCTGGAGCTCGAAGAAACAGAATTCTATAGCTCTATACACTGCTGAGGCAGAATACATAGCTGTTGGAAGTTGTTGTGCTCAGTTGTTGTGGATTCGACAGATGCTGCATGATTATGGGATTGGTCAAGATTCATTCACCCTGTTCTGTGACAATACAAGTGCCATCAACATCTCCAAGAACCCAATTCAACATGGTAGGACAAAGCACATTGACATACGGTACTATTTTATTCGAGACTTGGTGGAAAATGGAGTATGTGAATTGAAGCATATTGGAACGCATGATCAAAAGGCAAATATTCTCACAAAAGCCTTGGATGCAGATCGATTCGAGAAGCTACGAAGGGATCTGGGTATGTGCTCAAGCCCTCATTCATGCTGCATGCATGAATAAAAAAATAAATATCTCCAATTTATTTTATTATTTGATCTTTTTGGTGGAAATAGGAGATTGGATATTATTGGGAAAAGGAATGATTGAAAATATCAAAAAGAAAGAGGACTTTTTGGTGAAGAAATGATTATCTGAAAAGTGATATTATTATTCCTTGAGAAGGGTTTTAAAAAACCCCAAAAAGGTGATTTGACGGCTCTGCGTTGCTGTTACGGCTGTCATAACAGCCTTATGGGAAGTGACGGTTCAGAGGGGTGGAATTGAACTTGAAATTCAAATAGAAATTTTAACCTCCCTCCATTTGTGGGGTTATTTATATTCTTGCGTATTGTGGTGCAAAGAACCACTCCTCCACTAGTTCTCTCAATCCTTCGCAAGTGCAAATTGTTTTTAGAAAACTATGGCTCGAATCCGATTCGGTGGAGACCCAAGAACTGCTAGAGAAGCTGTTCGCGGGCGTGGACGTGCGCATAACAGAGGTTGTGGTGGCTGTCTTGGACAGATCAGTTCAACTTCTCACTCCAGTGATCTTCCCGCACCAGTGGTTCTTGTTGAAGAAGGCGTGGAAATTTCTGTAGCAACTACTGGTGTTGTGGCTTCACATTCTCTGGGAGACCGTCATGATGATACAGAGAAGTCTGCTAAAAAAACTCCGGAGGAAACACAAGTAAATGCACCTGATGTTGGTATTTCTGGTGAACCTAAAGCTGCTGCTCCAGATAATTGTGAAGAGGAAGGAGATGCTGAGAAGGAACAAGGTGGTGCGGAACCTGAGTCTCCTAGTGCTGTTGAGGAGATTGTGGAACGATTTGAAGAAGCTCTTGGAGATGAAGCCAGAGAACTGAAGATGTTGTTCCTCAATCTGAAGCTGTTGCCGAACAGGGAACTCCCATTCGCGTTGATGATCCTACCATTGGAGAGGAAGGTACTGATGTTGACCCTAATAAGTCTGCCCCTGATGACAGCCTGAATACCATCATCGACAGGACTGTGGATCGTCTTTTTTCTGGGGAAGTGGAACGTGAGGAAGTTGCTATCACACTTGCATCACAGCCTGTGGAAATGGAGTCTGAGGACTCAGATCATATTCCTCTTGTTCGTATGAAAAAGCTCAGGCCGGCTAAGAATCTGAATAAGAAACGAAAAGCTGTTGTTTATACTCCTGGTTCTTCAGGCAAAAGGATCAAGCATCTCATCTCCAAGAAGGATTTGAAATCAAAGAAGTCAAAGTCCCGCAAGCACAAAGACACTCCTCAACCGACTTTTGCTGAGGAAGCCATGGACTGGACTCATTTTGATGATGCGGCTGAATCCTTCGAATATGATGTCTTGGCAAATCGTGGATTCGTTTCAGAAGCTCGCTTTACAGACTCCATGCATACTAAAGTTGGATTCTCTGAGTTCTTACGGGAAAAATGATTGCTCCATTGGGTTGTTTCTCTCAAGCGGTATTGCCCTAAGTTGGTCAAAGAATTCTACACCAATCTGTCACTGCAAGTGATGGATGATAGGAGTTCGTGGTTCCACAAGGCGTATGTTCGTGGCAAGGTGTTCAAACTCAGTCCCATGGTCATCAACAAACTGTTAAAGCTAACGCGTGACAACTCTGAAGCATTGCCATTCTCACTGCTGCTGCAAGAATCGAAATGGGAAATTGCTCTACATCTCTCTGCCCGGAAGTCCAAGGATTTTGGAAGAACAGGTCTTGTTGTTGCGGAGCTCACAATGAAGTTTCAATTCCTTCTTCGCTTTTGTGCATTGAATGTTTTTCCAACCAGCAATGGCACAAATATCGGATCCAAAATGGGTAAAATGCTCTTTTCCATTGATAAATTCTGTTCTAACTTAAATCTTGGTTTTGTGGTGATCTCCAAGATACTGAAGTATGCCAAATGCCAGAAGTATGAAGCAACCAAATTACCATATCCTACCTTAATCACCCTACTCTTGAAAAACAATGGCAGAGCCCAATGAAGACCTTGTTCAGACTAGCTTCTTCAAGCCTAGGTCTAACTTGCAGAAGCTTCACAATGGCTTCAAAGAGCCCATTCCATTGGATCTATCGAGCCAACTTTGGAAGCTCGGTGTCTAATCTTTTTGCAGGAACAACTGTCCATCAAAGTGACTTTGGGAGAGCATCAGAAAAACATCGCTCGAGCTCTCAACTTGCTTCCTAAAATTGCGTCGGCTCCTGATGAGGAGGACACCCCTGAATCTCTCTAGCTTACCTGCCTGTCTTGGCATTAGCTCCTCACAAGGGGGAGAGATAGTGCAGGGAATGAGTTGTTGGAGTTGTTTTTGCCGGCTATTGTCTTTGCAGAAAGAGGGAGCCTTAGTGATTTGCTGTTGCTACTGATGTTATCTGTTGTTTGCTTTTGTGTTTTGTGTTTTGTTTATCTGTCAAATGGTTTTTGGATAGCTGTTATCACAACCATTTCATTCGAAAGGCTGTATGTAGCCTTATTTTTGTCGGCCTGTAATCAACTTATAAACCTGTCCTTTGAATTATTGAAATGTTTTTTTTAGTGTGGGCGATTTTCTCCGGCACAATGTGCGTAGTCACATATGCCAAAAAGGGGGAGAATGTTAAGTTGAAAAACCCCATTATTTATTTTTGGCATATGGACAAAACAAATTCTTATTGTTGTTGTCGTCAGAACCCATAAACAACAACATTGACCCAGCCTGTGCAGTTCCATCAACAACCAGCTTGGATTGTGTCTATTTGGCTTTCCTAGGATGGTGTATTTTCAAGACAAATGGACACTTTAAGTTTGTCCTCTTTTGTTTTAGAAGTATACAGAAACACACCATTCCTTTTTTGTACCAAGGGAATTAATTGCAGCAACAGTTCGAGATGAGAAGAGAAGAGTGCTATGTGAAGGTTTTTTAGAGTGTTTAGTGAGAGAAAAAGTGTATCAATCCTCTCAACCCAAAACCTTCCCTTCTCCATGTATTGAGTGAGTGCTAGACATTTTTATCTCGCCGCAGGAAGGAGAAATCGGAGTTTCGATCGGGGGAAGCATCCAGATTCTAAGCAGCTGTGCTATTTGTTGGTCATCAATTCGCGCTTGTGACGATGTATACCTGTGGAGGAGTTTTTCCTAGGTAACCAGTATAGTTGTATAATTGAAGGAGTTTTGGTTGTTTTTGTTCTTAATCAGCACTGATTAGTGAACTACTTCTCGATTAGAATCCTCCGGATGTAGGTTTGTTATAACCGAACTGGGTAACCAAATATCTTGTCATTTATTATTTTGGCCACTGCATTTATTTCGTTGACAAGATGGTGTTATAACTGTCATATAACCAGACTTCGAGAGTTGGCCCTTGAATAAGTGTTCGAAGGTATATTGGTGCAGTACCTATTCTCCCAACAAATACCATAGTTAATAGATTCATTCACATTAATATTCAAAAAGCATAGAAACATTTTCTTTGCTCTAACTAATTTCTCAACTCAGGAAAAATACAAAATAAATAAATTGAAACCAACTCAAATTTCAAATTAAGAAACAAATTAGATCATATTTTCCATTTCATTCAAATTTCATAAAAATCAATTTTATTTTTCCTTTTTTAAATTCACCTTAATCCAATGCCTAAGTTTAGTCATAAACTAACTAAGGAGGTCATGGTAACCCTGAGCTTCTTTTGTCAATTTCAACTTTCGCCTATTGCACTGTAGATTTTTAATCATTCATATTACAGAGAGTCGAAGTGCAAATTTCCCTTAACGTCACATTTGTCTCCCTAACCACGCACACAGCAAACCCATCAAAACCTAGTTATATCACGAACTTCTAGCGATCAACCAAGTGAATTATAATTTCCAATAAAATGAAACAATTAAACACTAGAAATAGAAATAAAATACAGAAAATAGAAAAGCAGGCAAACAAACAAGTAAAATTCATGGGACAAAATGCATATCTGAGAACAAATAGACGGTAAAATAGGAAGAACATACAGCACCGAGGTGCCATCTGCTTTTACACATATCCAAGGAGAAACAAATCAAAATAAAATAAAATAAAAAGTCGAAATACACAGACTAACAAGGCTCCGAAGCAATTTGAGATCATACCATAGTTGAAGCAGAGATTTGCTAGTGGAGATGATGTGACTATTTATTGGGGGGTTTGAGTTTCAAAGTTGAAATTCGACTTGCGATGCAATAATATGAAAGCGCCGCAAATATATTCTAGACGGACCGTCAGAAATAAATGTCGGCCTAATTTACATCAAACCTCGTGTAGCTAAAATGATCTGGACCCGGAAGCCCATCTAGACCCGATCCGGTTCAGTCGGAATCCATCATGAACCCTAGTTCAACATTGATCGGTCCAAAAAAAATTAACTAGCTTGACCAGATCCGACCCACGTTATGGCGGACTGGTTTTGCGCAGCCCTGCTCCACCAACATTGAATATATAAAAATAAATAAATAAATAAACTTCAATTTTTATTAAAACAAAGGTTTTAACCAATTTGCAATATATTTACATGTCTAAATACATGTAAATACTAGACTTGGAGATTTAAGGGTGTGTTTTTTTGCACAAAATATGGAAAATTTTATTGTAGATATACTGTTTGGCTTGAATTGGCAACAAAGTCACGTAGGGTATGTTTGTTTGGAAGTTTGAATTTTAAATTAGGATTTGAATAGTCTGAATTTAGGTATTGATGTGATATTTTGAATGTAAAATTAATTTTTAGTATAATATAAAAAAAATAATAATTTAAATGAATAGTAGAAATATTCGCGAAACCTCAAAGGAACACACCTTTAGAGCAAACACAACAGCAGCATACTTATTAATACTTTCTCTCTACTTGTGGAGACTAGACTGTTTTTATCAAGTTCAATATTAAAATCACACAATAGTCTTTTTTGGATGGTACTTTCTATACGCTGCGTGAATCCAGCATGGTGCAGTAGAAGCCACGGCAATCCGTCTTGCTCTCTCTCTCCTCCTATTTCAAAAATCTCCACCAAAAACTATTTCTGGAAAGGTCGCCGTGACCATCAACCTCCGGCGCCGTGAATTAAAACAGGCTCAATCCTACTAGCTTTTTTTCCCGGACTTTCATTTCCGAAGGTATCAAGAAAGAAGACTTCAGGACTTCCATAGTCGGAGTAATTCCAAACCTTCATAGTTGGAGTAATTTTAGACTTTCATTTCCGACGGTATCGTGTTAAGAAAAGATCTGGACATTCAATCTAAAATCAATTGGTGATAGGTGGAGTAACCCTTTACCCTTATATTAGCGGAGTTCCCACACATTTAGCAATGATAATCTCGAAAATTCATACATTCAAACCAATACACGAAGGATCCGGGCATCCAACCTAAAACCAATTGGTGATAGGTGGAGTGATCTTTACCTTTATATATTAGGAGAAATCCCACACATTTAGCAATGTGGACAATATTCAACGTATCGAGGAAGAAGACGTCCAGGCAGATGCTGAGGTTTCGGCCTACGAGATGGCGAATAGTCTGACAGTTGGGGATTTTTGCAAAAATTGAGGTTGGAATTTGTTGATAAAGCCTTTGGTTGTGGAGAATTTGAAGCTAAATTGAAATTGGAGTGGTGTGGAGGAGAGGAGTAAATCCATGGCTGCCTGTTCGGACGCAATCCTGTCGTCGTCGGAATTCGGGTCGGAGGTGAGTTGTTCTCTGTAGATAATGATCTCGAAAATGAAGCTATTGTGTGACTTTCGATTCATTGTTTATGGATAAAATCCTTTTCCCTCAACACATAGGCGAGACATAGTTTTAAAGGTAGTTTTAAAGAAACACTTCTTTCGATTCATTTTTTAGGGAGACAGTTTGCATAAGGCTAAAAATAGGTGGACAATGGAGCAACAACAGTTTGACGTTTGTACATATTTTAATTATTGTTATTACTCCCTCCGTCTCAGTCTCAGTTTCAAATACCATGTCCACGTTGCCCGTTTTTGTCCGTCTCACATATTATGTTACTTTCCTTTTTTGGAAAATGATTACACACTTTAATCTCTATTTTAATTTTTAATTTTTTTTAATTTTAATTAAACTAATTAGTTATTATAGGATAATTATTTTTAATAATACATTCTTAATTATCTACTAATTACACCATTTCTAAAATATCGTGTCTACAGTGTAGCAGACACGGTATCTGAGATGGGGGAGTATTATATAAATTTCTTTTATATTTCCACCGCGGTTGTGCAGAACTGTCTCCAGTCTACTGGCCCTCAAGGGCTGATGCAATACCGCTAAACATAGATACGATAGAATGCTTAAATAGAGATTTATATCTATTGATCACGGCCATGGGGCATTCTTCTCTAAAACTAACATTTCAAATTTAATCATTTTTTTTTAAAAAAACAAAAATTAAACATTTAATACATCAATATTTTTTTTTATTTAATTTAAAACATTTAATGCATCAATATCTTTTATTTTAATTCAAATTTAAATTTAATTATTTATTAAATTTATAGAAAAATATTCACATAATTATTTTTTTTTCTCTTTCTATTTAATGTAAATTATATTTTATTAAATTAATAAATTCACATCAAACTAATCATTACCCATTAAATCATTATCTATCAAAATCCTCAAACTCATATCAATAATATCTATATATATATAACAAATTGTACAAATAACTAACGTATTTTTACTTTTATGTCCTTCACAGTTGTTACGTACGAAATTTAGAATTAGGTTAAAAGCCCAAGGTAAAAAGAAGAATGGGCCTGGCAATAGAGTTGATTGAACTGGCTGAAGGACACCGCGTGGAAATCAAGGAAAATACAGGACGGAAAGACTTTAGGTCGGAAGGTCTTCAGGTCGGTAGGTCCTCAAGACGGAAAGTCCTCAGGACGGAAAGACCTCAGGTCGGAAGGTCTTCAGGTCGGGAGGTCCTCAAGACGGAAAGTCCTCAGGACGGAAAGACCTCAGGTCGGAAGGTCTTCAGGTCGGGAGGTCCTCAAGACGGAAAGTCCTCAGGACGGAAAGACCTCAGGTCGGAAGGTTTTCAGGTCGGTAGGTCCTCAAGACGGAAAGTCCTCAGGACGGAAAGACCTCAGGTCGGAAGGTCTTCAGGTCGGGAGGTCCTCAAGACGGAAAGTCCTCAGGACGGAAAGACCTCAGGTCGGAAGGTCTTCAGGTCGGAAGGTCTTCAGGTCGGGAGGTCCTCAAGACGGAAAGTCATCAGGATGGGAAGTCCGCAGGTCGGGTAAACCGTAGATCGGATAGAAGGCGAAGTCGGGCAGACGCGGAGGTCTGTCAAGAGGAAGGTCGGGCAAGGAAGAGATACGGACAGACGCGGAGGTCTTCGGTCAAAGACGGAGGGCGGCTGATGCGGAGGTCGGCCCAAGTGAGGTCGGGCGAAGAAGCAGGTCGGGCGAAGGACGAAGTCGGGCCAAAAGGGCGGAAGGTCTGTGGTCGGCTCAAAGAGTGAAATATAGGGATAATTTTGGTCTGCTGAGGACACGTGTCAGCAGGAGAAGGGTTGGAAGACGGTTTGGAAGGAGACGTTGTAACCGTTCGGGCGACGGTTTTCAGTACAGTTTCTTCAAAGAATATTTAAGGATTTGGATCATCATTTGGCAAGGTATCTTCAATCAACTTCAACAAAGCAAAGTCAGATTTGGGGATCACCACTTTAAATTTCAGTATTTTATTTTCCAGTTTATTTTCTGTACCATACAGTGTTTAGAGATTCCTAATCTCAGGCACTAATTAATCAAGTTTAAGGATATTTTCTATATCTTTGAATTTTACTTTATTTTTGTTGAAAAATTACATCAACAAATTGGCGACCACAGTGGGAGCAAGACAAAATTGCTCATTCCAATTCCGGCGATAATTTCATACGTCTAAGATCCGGCCGTATCATCGGAAGGGTCCATATGGCAGGTTCACAACCTCAATCATCTTCGGCACCGGTGGGAGAATCCGTTCCACCACCTATTGTGCCAAATGCCGGGGAAATCCCACAACCACCAACTGATTGGTGGTCTTATGTTCAACAAATGAACAACCAGCAAACTTTGGTTATGCAGAATATGTTGCGTGAGCAACAAACGAACATGTTGCGTGAGCAACAGAGTCTGATGCAGAACATGATAGATCAAGCACTGTCAAGGGTTAGTCTTCAACCCACTCAAACTCCACCAGGAGTATCACCATCCAGACTACAGGCAAATTTCGCAGGGCCATCATTCGTGGATAGTACATTCCCAAGTGCCACAAATCCCAACCGAATGGATAGGGGAAAATCTCCTCTGACTTTTCCCAACACTGTTCCACTGGGACCAAGGGTTACCAATCCGCAGCCGAACAATACAAGGGAGGACAGGCCTGAAGGATATATACATGATCCTATTCATATTCCTGTGCAGGATCCGTTCCATGTTCCTGATCATCAACGCTTTCATGTAGATCCTGATGAGATTGCACATATATTAAGGGATCAGTATGGATTAACTCCTCAGATGGCTAACCGCCCTGCATATCAGAGACCTTTCCCAGAAAGGATCATTAATGAACACCCTCTCCCAAGGAATTATCGACCACCCGATTTTCATGCATTTTCAGGGGAGGATGGATCTTCCACCATAGAACATGTTGGTCGTTTCACAGCACAATTGGGAGAAGTGGGTAATAACCCGTTTTATAAGTTGCAACTGTTTGGTTTATCTCTTACTAGAACAGCGTTTTCGTGGTTTGCAAGTCTGCCCCCTGGACAAATTCAAACATGGGAAGGACTGGAGATGGCATTTCATGCCAGATTCTTCAATCCTTTACCAACTGTTTCTTTAACTGATTTACTAGAATTGAGACAGTATCCAGAAGAATCTGCTTCACAGTTTATAGAAAGGGTGCGATTGATGAAAGGACGATGTCCTACGGTAATCAGTGAGAAAGAAATGACCAATTTAGTGGTCCGGAATATGCATACTCGCTTAAGAAAGGCACTCACTGCCTTGGACGTTGAGGATCT